ATTTATTTATTTATTTATTTATTTATTTATTTATTTATTTATTTATTGGAGGCAGAGTTTCTCTTTATAGCCTTGGCTGTCCTAAGACTGGCTTTGTATACCAGGCTTGCCTCAAACCCACAGAGATCTCCCTGCCTCTGTCTCCCTGAGTAGATTAAATTTGTAAAATAAATTAGGTAAATTTGTTTTTCTCTCTTGGTAAGAATTTTGAAATAACTTATTTTAATAAATGTTGATCCTGATTTATTTGTAGAAATTGTTTATATATTCATATTATGTTCTTCCATTTTACTTTTAACTGGATTTTGAGAGAGCTGGTTTTATTTTAAATTTTCTGAATCATTTCCTACTCATTTCTTTGGGTTTTCCTAGCACAATAGTAACAGACTATTTTCTTCAGATTATCATGGTTTCATTTTTTGTTTCTAGTATTGACAATTCATTCTTCTCTTTAATTGCACTAGCTGTGACAGTGAAATTAATATATTCAGTACACACATATACATGTATGAGCTTGCATGCAGACGTGCATTCTTTCTTTTCTTTTATTAATTTATTTTATTTTATTTTTGAGACTGTATTTCATGGTGGAAATTGGCTAGCTGGCCTAGGATTTTCTATGTAGACCAGGTTGGTCTGGACACAGAGTCCCACCTGCCTCTGAGTCCCTAGTGCTGGGATTAAAGGTGTGTATCACCATTCCCACCCAAATGTACTTATTTTATGTGGGTGTCTGTGTATGTCCTTGCTTTTGTGTTTGGGCACATATTCCATAAGGAGTGTGTGGAGGTCCGAGAACAACATTAAGAAGTCAGTTCTCTCCTTCCACATATTGGTCCTGGATATCAAATTCAGGTCATCAGGCATGGTGGCAAGTGATTGTACCTGCTGAGCCATCTAACTTACCTGAATTTACATTTTTTAGCACAGTTCTCCTGGCTTTCAGTTACTTAGGTAAGACTGGTTGATATGAATACTTCTTTAAGAAAACAAATGTGGCTTGGGGATAGGTCTGTGGTAACTGTGCTTGCCAAGCAAGCACAAAGCACTAGGTTCCAGCCCTTCACTGGACTAGAAAGCTGGTTCTTTCCCCGCCTAACTTTGTAAAGCAATTGTATTCTCGTCCTCTGTTCCTTATTTATTAATGGAGGTATTTAAAGATCTTAACTTTTTCTCTGAGAATTCTCCTCCAGTCTTCTGGGTAGATTTGTATTGGTTTATAACTCTTTCCTGTATTCCAACACTACAGTTTCATTTTTTCTGATAAAAAGAAATGTGGGTAAAAATGATATTGCACAAGCATTTACACGGTAAGCATAGACAGTCACAGTAGATGCCCGCATACATGGACACGTAAGACTTCATTGGTTTCCAGAATTTTGAAGTACCGTATTGGTTTACCAACAATGAAATGTATTGATGCTTCCCTACTTTTGGTTCTTTCTCTTGCACTTGATCTTGCCACAATGTTAAGGTGATAACTATGCATTTTAGGCTTGTGGACATGGAGGAGGGTCCTACTTTTTACTTTCATCTATCTCTTTTTAAATCTTCCTTACCACTCTGTTATTTGAAAAAAAAAGAAATTCTATGGTTATATCACCTGGAAAGTAACACACAGAGAAGTGATTCTGTGTAGGAGTTTTAAAATGCAGGTAGAAGATGAAGAGGCACATAGATCTTCAGGATAAAAAGAAGATGAGATTGAGCATTGAAGTGTGTACACGAAAACACAAAAACAGGCTGCCTGGGGACATAGAAAGTAAATGAAGTGGGGCCAAAACTTAGATCCCTGTGAAAGTTAGAGAGAAAATCTTTCTATGTAAATGAATTATTAATGCAAATTCTCAGAAGTGTATGGGTGTACAAAGTAAGCCTGTGGAAGAGCATAGAGCTTGCTGCCCAGGATCATTTTCAGTGCTTGCTTATGTTACCATCATACATCCTTGCTTGCTTGGTTCAAGAATTCAGAGTAGTATGCTATGGTTTACACAATAGTCTAATGCAGCTTTTGAGTTTGGTTTTGACATTCTGGCGATGTTTGGAGTGATAATGGAGGTTTATAACTTAACAAAGAGATAGTCTGTTACATTGTGGGTCAACCCAGAAGTGCTTCCTTCCTACTCTCATTTTTCATTTTCTGTCTTGTTGGCCTCCCAAATATAATATTAGCTTGTTTGCATACATTGAGCAGAAGAGATGGAAATAGGTATGGGTAAATGGCCATGTTTGCAGGCCTGTTCAGTTGTTCCTTAACGTGTGGAATGGTGGTTTATTGAATGAAAATGGAAATAAGTGCAGCTGTCAACAGCATTTTCTAGTGCCCAAATGTATGCCCTGGATCCAGGACTTGCAGGATTTGTGTCACTGTATTTGGGAAGGTTAGCTGTACAGAATGTCACTTGTTCTCTAAAATGGAAACTTAGAGAAACTGGGTGTCTTCTGTATAAAATTATATGTATATATATATGTATATATGTATGTATAATATGTGTATATTATATATGTGTGTATATTAAATATATATATATATATATTTCTATTTCTAGGGGACTCCTTCTCACAGTTCCGATTTGCTGAGGAGAAAGAATGGGACAGTGAAACTTCATGTCCAAAGCAGGTAAGACAAGCGTGTGTTGAATGTAGGTTGGTTTTTTTCAAGGCCAAGTCCCTGCACGGGGAACAGTTGATAAGGTTCTTCAAGCTTGAGTTTATTTGGCCATCTATGAATGTCTCATAGATTGAGTTGTGAAGTAGGAATTTCATGATTATGATTTTAAAAAACAATAGATTATTTCTTTCTTTGCCATTTCTTTCTTTCTTTCTTCTTTTTTTTTTTTTTTCTGGTTCTTTTTGCCAAACTAACTTCCCCCCTCCCCACATTCCTTCCTTAACCTTGTACCTTTATTATCCTTCACTTAGGATAAATGTACAAAAATAAAAACAGGTATCATAGAAGGCCTTCAGTCAGTCCTTAAACCACAATGCTGTGTTCATTCTCTCTTTTTTAGCCACGGTCATTGCTGTGTTCATGAGTAAGGAATGGATCAGGCTCTGAATCCCACTCCATCCCCACCCCAAGGATCAATAAGAAAGAATTTCACTGTTTCCCAGCCTGACCTAGAACTCATGGTCCTCCTAGGACCTGTATGGGTCTATGAGAGTTCATATCCAACATTGATGAGGATGGTATTTGCATCTGTATTAGGTCATTACGATGACCTTCTAAGTGTTTTGCTTCCCTGAGGTCACCAGGACACCTCCAGGATAGCTAATAAGATAGGATAATCAGTCACCGACTTAGCTGTGGATGTAGCAGGCCTGTTGGTTTGAGACAACAGTTCATGAATATAACTTCATTCCTGGGTAGAAAGGGTCAAAGGAAGCTTTTACTGCTACCACCATGCTGAGCTGAGCACAGCTGGCTGTAGTGAGGAAGTTGCTGTTTTCTGAGTTGAAAAGAAGCAGAGCTAACCCCCCAGCTCCTATGGGGGTGCCTGGAAACCACATGCCACCATCTACTCACATTCTCTCTCTTCTGCCTAGGACCTTGGTCTGAGTTTAGGGAAGTTTCTGGTCATATTTTATTAAAATGCTAGTTTTCTCCCAGTTTGGAGGTTACAATGTCAGCATGATGTGATGGGGTTCACTGCCCAAAGTGTGGCTCAGAGCAAACAAGCTGTGTACTGTTTGGTATAGAGACATTAAAGCTCATTGTGATTTATGATCAGACTTCAAGACACAAGTAACTCCAGTGACTGGCTTTTTATAGTTACCTTATCTTCTCTCTAGAATTCAGCACTCTACGTGGATAGTGAGTCACTGGTTCGAGCCCTTCAGCAGCTGCCTCTCGCAGTCCGGCTTAATGTCGCTTCAGAGTTGATCCAGGTAAATACAGAATCTGCCTGCTGGCTTGGTTAGGGCAGGGGAAGGGCCAGAGGGAAGAATGTAGCCTGCAGGGTGTCTCAGCCTGAGCTTTTCTCACGAGCTGAGCCCTTGTATTGAGGTACTGTCTTATAGAATTTAAAGGAAAACAAAACAGATGTTTGAAGTTATTCTGTTATGTTTTACATATGATACATTTTAACGGATCAAAAGTAACATAGTTGAATGCAAAAAAGACTATATAAAGTCTAGCTATTGACACAGAATATTCAGGTATCTGGCTCTGAGTTGGCACTAGGGACAAGAAGTGAGCAGGTGGATGTGGTTTCTCCTTCCCTGAGTTCAATCTACTGGAAAAGATTGATACTAATCAGTTTAGTGAAGTAATTATACAGCTGCATGGAAATGATAAATAATGTGAATTACAGCATGCCACGAGAGCTTATAATAACGAACCTGACGTATCATGGTGTGGCTAGGACCAGCTTTCCTAAGGAAACAACGGGTAAGCTGAGACCTGAGGTCTAAAAACACTTGAACTGCAATCAAAGATGACAACCACCCAGGCAGATTAGCATTAATGAAAATAATTGGTAAATACTGTGCTGGTGGAATAGAAAGCAGGCCACGGCTTTAGAGTGTAGCTCTGTCTATGTGTGCTATTGTGCAAAGGCAGAGTAGGGAAGCCATGTCAAGGAAGCTACCACCTCAGTCCAGGTGAGAGAAACTAGGTCAAACTCGGTACTGATGGTGGAGGTGACTAAGATTGGACTTCTGTAAGAAGTGTTTCAAGGTGACAGTACTAGGATGTAGAAGTTATGTATGTTGGCAGTTTGGAAAGAACAGCTGAGGAAGGAGTGTACATTGACACACACACTCACAGCCTTAGTCTTTAAGTCTGTTCTCAACTGTATGTGTAACTGTGCTATCAGCATCTGCATCAAGAGTCAGAATATTTCCAGTTCCTGAGACCATCACACACACTTCGGATCCCCATCTGCCTTCAAGACAGCATTACCCTGGCTTCTATTCCTATATTTACCTGGTTTTGAATTTTCTATAAATTTTACCAAATAGTCTGGTTTTCTTCACATTCTATATTCAAATAATATTGAGTTATTTTCTTGTTGGCAAATGATCCTGCCCCTTCATGTGCCTGCATCCAAGTACAGTGAACAGTCTACTTGGCTAATTTCTTCTTAGTAACTTTTACAAATAGGTGGTCATTCTTTGTTACAGAATTAAATATCAATTCAAATAGACATGTGGTATCTTTCTGGGCAGGGGATAGGAAGATGTGGGCTTTTAATCTCACCTCTGAGCTAGTTAGCACATGATACAGGGGAGTAGAATGTGGTCACAGCCCTATGATGCTTCCACCAAATTCCTCATTCACTGTGGGTAGATCAGGAAGAGTGCTGGGATAGGGCTCAAATAAAAGACACCTTGTGGGCTGTCTGGGTTGAGTTTCCTACAACAGGGTTGTATGGCTTCCTTAACTTTCCATGCTTAAATTGACACAAGGACTCTACTAAAGTCCAACCTCATGCGTCTTTTTCAGACCACAGTTCCTTTAGAACTTCCACAGGTGAAACCAAAGAGAAACAGTGATGGCAAGGAGCCAGGCATGCAGCTAAGGGGACCCATCTCCGAGCTCAGATCTGCTGCTGGTGGTTGTTCCAGGTCTCTGGGCAGAGACAGTTTAAAACCCAGCCCTCTAGAGGGTTTGCAGAAAGCTGCCTCCCCACCACAGTCAGTCGCAGACCATCTAGAAGAAGAACTGGACATGTTGCTGCATTTAGATGCGCCTGTGAAAGAGGAAGACAGTATCTCTCCAGAACAGACATCTCAGGGCCAGGAACCGACATCTCAGGGCCAGGAACCAGAAAGAGATGGGCATGTGGCCCAGGAGGAAACAGGTATGGCCTTCATTTCATTTCCCATCCATCTTCTCAGGTCTGGTGTTTCTGCGGTAAACGCCCTACCCCATCCCTATGCATACCCCTCTGTGTCTGACATTGATCCAGCCATATCCCAGGCATCTCTTCCCAGGGCAAATCACAGCTTCTCCCAACCTGACCTTTCTGACAGTTTCTCTTACTCAATATCCGAGACTTCCAAAGTAGCTATCAGCTTGGTCGCAGGGTTAACGTTAGAGCTGCAAATTGAACTTCTATAAAAGCCTTTCTGTAGAGGACCTTTTAATCGACTGAATAGGCTAGGAAACTTAACTCTTCATAATTCTCAGTATTTTGACTTGTTTTTTAAAGCAAAAGAATGTTTTTTTTTATCCTGTGAATATTTTGTGATCTGGTAGTTCATCTTAGGACAAGGTAACTTTCATATCATATTCAGTAACCAAGAGTCACTATGATGTTTCAACATTGCCTCAAAAGGAAAAGGACACTGAGCTACGCTGTTGGCCTTCGTGTTAAAACAAACCCCACAAAACTAGTGAGCAGAGAAATTCATCTTCAGTATAAACAGGAGAGCAAACTTGTAGCTTTGCTTATTTTGTTTAGATACTATTGATTGTATCTTAGGGGTACCAATAATGAGAATTTCTTGCTTGTTACATAGAAAGTAATTTGTGTTGAACTGTATCCTCAAAGATACTCCAAGGAAGCCTTAACCTCAGCATTGGGACTGATGTGAGGTGGCTAATGTTGCTTTTATTTCCATAGTTCCTGAAAAAACATCTATGACTGGAGAGAAAAATATGGAACCTGAGCAGCCAAGCACATCCAAAACTGTCACTGAGGAAGATCTGGAAGACTGGCTGGACAGCATGATCTCCTGAAAAGGGGGATCAAGCGGGGGAAAGTGCCTGAAGCAAATGTTGGTTGCCTTCTAAGTAAGGATGGGCTAGTTTACCAGATACCCCATGCTAACATGTACTGTTACGCTTTCCATGGCCAACACCTACCTCTGTGTTTGATGGCATCTGAATACATGTATGAGGCTTGTTTAGGGCTTTGTTTCTGTTGTAATCTGGCTTAGTCATCTAATAGATTTTCTTAAGGACAGGGGATGTCACAGCTACATTTTCAGCCTCCTTCCTGTCAACACTGACAGCACAACAGGTGCTTATTAAGGTGATATACAGAAGCAACAAGAGATGCAGTTGGTCAAAATAAACATCCTCTAGTCTATGACTTTTCCTTTCTTCATGAAGCTCATGGGCTACTTGTTTCATGTCCCTGACCCGAAGGCCAGGTGGCTGTAGAATAGCTGGAAGTGGTACATGACAGGAGGCAAACCATGAACTGGCACATGTTACTTTATTGCAGTGGGCACTTGATTTTATTGGAGGAGATTGACCTAAAACATGGCAGCTCCACTACTTACACAGGACTATAAAGCATCACTCAAGTTTGGTATAAGACAGATTTTTCTGAAATTTCAGTACAGTGTCTTTCTTCAAATAACAGCAGCCAACAAGCTGTCACTGAAGAAATTATGTGAATAATCTTCAAGTGCAGTTTCATAAAGTAAGACAGAAGATCAGCACAGCTGTTTAATGGAGTTGTCCTTCTGGAACACAAACATAAAAAACTTGCATAGCTATATCTAAAGAGATTTTTAAGGCACTTAATCGATATTTCAGTTTCGACAAAGTGTTTGTTTTCTATTTCCTTAGCTGCTTAAAGCTTTTCAGGCCGATTCTGGATACAGTCACTAGCAAGTACCATGGAAAAATTAGATCTCATGAGTTGAACCTAGTTTTGTGTAGTTCTGCCCATCAGTCCTTGACGGGGTCCTCTTGCATGACATTCAAGACTTCACATTTCTCTGAACCCTCCCAATAAACTAGTTGCTTTTAGAACTGAGAACTCTGCGAGCAGTCAGGTGGAGTCCTTGACACTTTGCCATCGTTGTGTGTCCATTGGGCACAAAAGCCAAACTGGTTTCCAAATACAGTTTTTGTTTGTGTGTGTGTTTTGTTAAAGAAGGGTTCTGTGGCATTAGATGGTGGCTCGTCTTAACCTCAGGTTTACCCGAGCTGATCTTCATATTGCTTACGAAAGCAGTCTCCAGCTGGGAAGAAGTCCCAACACCTTTCCTGGTACATCTTCCACACGTAGGATTCCTGAAACAGTGTAAACAAAGAGTACTTTGTGTTGAAACCACAATAAGCTAAACCCCAGGGTTTTGGTGTGACTGTTGTCCTGTGTGATTTCCTTTAGGCATGTTCTCACTCTATCCCCAGCCTGCTTGGTTTTGTGAACAAGAAATCACTTCTTCCCATCATGATTGAAGGGGAGGTGAAAAACCTATTCTCTGTCCCTTCTAGCCATACTCAGTCCTGTGCCAAATGTAATGGGGGGACTCAAGAAGAATGGACAGTTGAAGGGACATTTCATGCTACCTGAAACCCGATCTAGAATCCAACTGTTTGAGCTATAAAATTTTCCTATCGATTGATGTTTGAATTTTAAGTAACTAGGCTTTTCTTCCTTTGTTCTCCACCCTTTTTAGTCAGAGAATTACTTGACACAGCTACTCACTCATCCTCACTCCCCTCCCCTCCACATTTCTGTTGTCACCCACATGCAGGGCCGTTCTTTCTTATGCTGTCTCTCCCACTGTCTTAATCTCCTGCTATGTTTCAGCCACCCACTTCATTTCTCATTGTCTTTTTCTCTCTACTGTCCTCCCACCTCCTGCTATTCTATAGAAAAGCAGTAAACACAATGGCTTGAAAAATGTCACTGTTTGTCGGGAAGGATTACTAGGAGAACTTGGGAAAGATACTGAAATCATCATAGAATTCGCACTTCTTATCAAGTAACAAAAAAGGTGATGGAAAAAAATGCATCTAAGAGACTAATAGCTTTAGGTATCCCTTAGTATTCTACTCAGTTTCAAGACTTGGTAAAAGGAAGACCCAACACAAACCTATGTAGATATTAGTTAAAAGCAGTTTGTTTCTCACCTGACCCGTGTGTTCCGTTTCATCCTTGTTAATCAAATACATCAAAAAGAATCTGGGAAAAGAACAAATGGGAGAAAGGTAGAGAGGTTTTTTTTTTTTTTTTTTTTAGTAAAAAAAATAGCTTGGCATGTGGGACTCCCCTTTAATCCTAGCACTCAGGAGGCAGAGGCTGGCGAACCTCTGAGTTTGACACTAGCCTGGTCTACAGAACAAGTTCTAGGAAAGCCAGGGTTTTATATAGAGAGAAAGAACAAAACTAAAACCAAACAAAAAAAATTAGTTATATATATGTACCCAGCAGAGCATCAGATCTCCTGGGACTAAAGTTAGAGGCAGTTGTGAGGTGCCTGTGTGAGTGCTGGGAACTGAACCTGGGTCCTCTGCAAACAGCGAAGCCATCTCTCCAGCCCAAGCATCTTCTTGCCCAAACTAGGTAACATTGTCTGCTAAGATAAATTGGAAGCAGAGTTTGAAAACTAAGATGCCTTTAAGAACCAGGAAAACATTTCTAAGAATGATGGATGCTAATAAGGGGAGAGCCTTCTTAACCCTCAAAAGTTTATCATTTAAAAAGATAAAAAGCTGACCCCTTTACCATAAAATTATCAGTAAGCCAGTTTACCATGTAATGAAAATTAGATTTGAAATCACACGTCAAAGATGAGTCGTGGGAAATGTGGACAGTATTTACTTTGAGGTCACACCCATCTTTCAGATGCATCGCTTTGTTTTTCATTGTGGAAAACTGGGAAAAGGCAGTGTGGTTTCATTTGCACTAAACGATCTGTATCAAAGATTTGAGTCTGTCTGTGACACACAAGTGTCCCAGGGTTCTGCACTCTCAGTTCATATTATACAACTTCAGAGACAGTTTCTAGAAGAACCAGTCTCATGTTCTTTAGGAAAGGAAAATGTGATACTGGTAAAAGGAAGAGGAAGTTGAGAGTATCATGCATGGTGGCAGAGCCTGAGCCCCAAACCTTTGGTTCTCACAGGGTAGTACTCTTTCATCTTAGGTCCTGGCACACAGAAACAGCTCTAACTACAACAGCTTCTTCCCTTCCCTCTACCAAGATTGAGAATTTATTTTCACCATACTGAAGATGTGGGTCAGGGAAATATTCTCCTCCTGGCACATTTAACTGGCAGGTGACCACATAGAATGTTCCAGGGTATCATGGAAGAGAATCCCAACCTAGATAACTAACAACTAGTCTGTCATTCCCTGGTGCTGTCTGCCATAAGGCTGTGGGTTCAACTTTTGTATCTTTACCAAGAACCCTTTTAATGAGAAATGACCATGATACTTAAGAAACTAGGGAAAGGATGTTAGTTACTAAAAAAGAAACTCAACACCAGCTTTCCCAACACTCAGCCTGTTCTAAAGAGAAAAATACAGGAAGAGCAAGGTTAGAGGAGCAGAATATTTTCCTCCTTGAAAATCATACTCTGGAGTTTGAATAACCAGGTCAGATAATTGATACACCCCATAAGCGGCAATGAATAGATAACTTGAGTGAATGCTTTGCTTTGCCCTAGGAAAGTGAAGCATCCATTTATTATTTGTTAGGGTCAGACATTACTAGCATTAAAACATTGCCCCAGAACATCCCACTTTCATAGAATTTAATGGAAGCTGTGGAGCAGACAGAATGTCTGAGAGCTGGCCACAGTTTGTCTGACTGCCCCTCCTTGATACAGCCCAATCTTGTGATGTGGTGGGGAGAGAAAGCCTTTTAGTAAGGTGTTCACAGAGGACAGAAAGGGAAAAGGTGAAGATGGTGCACCTGGAGAGTAGCTGGTGGTAAAAAGTGGACATTCTTGAGGATGTAAAGGTGAATTGCTGGAGATGTGAGCTGTTGAGGAATGAGACCTAGGCATGGGACAGTTCACAGTTGTTTCCAACACATCATAGAGAGACTGATACCAGCTCATATAGGCACCTGCAGATTCTTTACTGATCGTATCTACCTCTTCCAAACCGAAAGGGAGAAATAACATGAGCAGACTAAACTTTGTGACACAGTTGTTTTGTTTTGCCTTAAAGACAACATCTTTAACCAAAAATACTTACAGGTAATTGGCTAAATTGTGCTCTTGCAGCGTATGTGTTTCAAAGCCGTGAGGGGTTGTGTCAAAGTAGTCATTGCCAATGCCACATATGAAGCATTTAGTCTATTAAAAAAAAAAAATGAAAAGCAGAAAAGGCATTAGTAGGCATACCAGTAGAGGAAGCAGGGAGAATGCTGACAGTTGAATTGGGGACATGGAAAATACTTTTCTGTTTAATGCTTTGGGCCACTATTTTACTCACGGTCTCACTTTTCTAGCTGAAGAAACTGTTCCCTCCCTCCAGTAATGAGAAAAGAGGCAGCAGGCATGGGAGGGCATAGCACCGGGTATTAGCGCCCAGGGCTGGTATTAGCGCCCTTGGTGCAGAGGAATCGAGAGTACAGGCATGGTAAGCAAACACTTCAGTAGTTTTGCTTAGGGAGGACCCTGATTAATCTGTTTATGGTTTGAGGAACCTGTTTGGGGTTGAAATAAGCAGAAAGATCAGTACCTCCATGTCTTCTCGTACTTGTTCCTGCTGGTCTCTCAGCTCTCCAAATGCATCAATAATGAGACCTGGAATTTTAAATACAGGTTCATCTGCACCGTGGTCTTAAGGGAGAAGTGGCAGAGGCCATTCTAACTTGTCAAAAAAGTGAATTATCAAGCTGAGCTAGTCAGTTAAAGCAAAATTAAAGGCAGAAAGAGCTGTGCTTTCAAGGGCCTGGTCCTGGCTAACCAGTTCTCACTCTGCCTCCTGGACTTCAGTGCAGACAGCTGTTTGCCCTTAACTCTCATATCTGATGCCTCAGATATCCATTGATGTGTACCAGGGTCTTCCCTCATTGTCTTTGCTTTTGAGCTCTCAACACTTAAATATCAGTACCTCATTTCAGCATGACTCAAACTAAATTCATCATCATCTTTCCTCCTTCAGCTCCTAGTAAGCTGTTGACTAAAATATCAGTACCTTTCTCTGTACTCTAAAAGACAGTAAGACCGGGAGGGGACAGGAGCTCCAAAAGGAGACCAACAGAGCCAAAAACCTGAGCCCTGGAGGCCCTGCAGAGACCGATACCCTAACCAAGGACAACCCATAGAGAGGACCTAAAACCCCAGCTCAGATGTAGCCCATAGACTCAGTCTTCAAATGGGTTCCCTAATAAGGGGAGTAGGGGCTGTCTCTGACCTGAACTCGGTGGCTGGCTCTTTGATCACCTCCCGCTGGGGCGGGGGAGGTGCAGCCTTGCCAGGCCACAGAGGAAGACAATGCAGCCGGCCTTGATGAGACCTGATAGGCTAGGGTCAGATAGTATGGAAGGAGGACCTCCCCTATCAGTGGACTAGGGGAGGAGCATAGGGGGAAAGACGGAGGGAGGGTAGGATAGGGAGGAGCTAAGGGAGGGGCACACAGCCGGCTACAAACTGAATAGACTGTAATAAATGATAATTTTTTAAAAAAAGACAATAAGGTGACATATTTTTACAGCTCCTTCATCTCCTGCTTCCCCACCTCAGTGCCTGGGAGAACAAAGAGGATAAGGCAAGCCACAGGAGACATCTAGGAAGGGATGAAGACATTATTTAGAGAGCGGAGCACTCTGGGCATGCTCTCAAGTTTCTTGGAATTGTCTGGGTGGCTCTTTGGCTCTGTATATAGAGACAGCAAGTGCTCAATGAGGTGTTAAATTGGCAGGTTAGATGGGCTACAAAAAACTTCTTTATAAAACAAACACTTGAAGGATGTAGAGAAGCAAAACAAACTGGATTTTCTCAATCCAGATCCTACATAATGGTTGACAACCATACCTTGAATGATGGCCAGCAAGATGACAATG